TGAGCTGTTGTTTCATATTGTGAAGATGATTCTGTTTTTAATCTGTGCTAATAGAGACAGCATTGTTATGAAGTCTACATCTCAGAACACTATTAAATCTGGTAAGGACCAGAAATGGTTGTCACTTTATCAGTGTGAAAATATGATAGCTTTTCCAACATCCACAACTAAAATGTACTCATTTAATTGGGAAAGTTGAGTGTCAGGGAAATAAATGTAATAAATGTATACTTAAACTTAAGTGACCAGTCTGAAAGTTTACATCTATAGTCAATCCTAGTTAATAGCAAACTGTCTGCCTACAAAATTAGGCTGATACAGAACTTGGCCTCTTTAGCATAGAAAGTACTGGAGTTCAGTCAATTTTTTTGTTTTGCTTAAGAAATAGACCCTAGTTACTTACTTCTTAATTTAAGCCTTAATTTAAATTTAATTTAAGCTTAAACATGGTAGCTCTCAATTACATATAACATTACTGTTCTCAATGAGCTTTTACATTTTTCTTCTATGTTATCCCATTTAAATTTTCACAGAATTGCTGAAAGATTTATCTCTTTGCTAGTACTCAAATTGGGAAGGATTCAAGGGATGAGGAACATGAGATAATCTAGCATGATAGGAGATAGCGACCATTTTTTTTTTTTACCCGTTAAACCCCCCTACAAGGCTATACAGGCATTAGAGTACAATGAAGATGTATTGTTAGCAGTCGGAAGGAGCTTCAGTCTTTCTGCAGCCCATATGGTATAGATGATATGTCCTTTCACATTTCTGCTGAATCTAGAGATAATCATCAAAATGACTTGAAAATATGCAGAGAGAAAAAGAAATCAGCCCAGCCATGGTTTCTCTGTGGTCTGTGACTTCTCACTAAAGAATCATAACATTTTAGAGTGGTAAGCATGTCAACAGCCTTTAGCAATTAAATTGCCATTACAAATGTAGGACCTTGAATATTCTAAGATCTGGCTAAATCTTTGCCTTGGCAAAGAATTCAAGTTATTGTAAAATAATCAACATCTTCCCAGGCCATGAAGAACATTGTTGATTTGAGGGCAAAACAAAGACATTAATAAAAATCCACCATATTTTCAAATATCACGGGCGATGCATGAACAAAAACAGGAAAGAGAGAAAGAAAGAAATGGCTGTCAACTGAAAGAAGAGCAAAATCTTACTTTGGTTTTGTAGAAAAATAAGGTAGATAATACCTTATTTTAAAGAGCAATTCCATATATCAGTGAGCATGTGGATGAATTATGTCCTGTGGGAGGAAGAAAATCAAGGGGAACAGAGTGGACAATTTATTTTGAATAGAGTGGGAATGATATTAACAGCTCAATTAAGTGCCTACAGTTTAGAATTGACTAAGAGTCATTGTCTTCCTGGGACAGATAAATTCTAGCTGTTCTATTTGCTTTACATTTCACATAAAAGTGAACTAAATGTGCTTAACATTGTGCTTGTTGACAACAGAACGAAACAAAATAGGGCTTCATTTGCTGAGTAGAAATGGAGATTCATCCACCCTTGTTTTCTAGAACACTGTCAAGGTACAAATTCTTTTAAGTTACTGTGTTTAGACTAATGTAGATAAATTTTCACTGGAGAAATTTGGCCCAGTCTATTCTGAATCTTCCCCGCTGGTTGCTGTCCTTTTTTCTGCCTTGGTCTCTAGCACGTATTTACCAGCCATGTCTTAGGAATCTGCGATCATTCTGTAGCTGAATAATGTTTTCTTATCAGATGTTCTGTACTGGGTTCAGGGCTCTGACAAGAACAGCTGCTTCCTAAAATGGCAGCTTTTCCTCACACACAGTTTCTCTGCATTTTTTAGGTTTATCCCATAGTCTTGCTTTCTCCACGTCATTCCTGAAGACTTACTGTATTTTCCCTGTAAAGTTACTCTTTTGGATTCTCTTTCTGAGGGTAAGGTTGTTTCTCTTACCTTTTCCTATCATCTGCTTCCAAAGACAGACAGCTTTTGCAGCCCCTTCCTATGCTATCTTTCTTTGATTCCAAAGCAGCGCTTTAGATGTAATTTCAAGGTTATTCTCACAGGGAGTGTTGAAACTCCTGTTTCACCCTTGCTGGAGAAAACGAATACCCCTAGTCATTCCATCTCCATTCAGAGCCCTCGAATAGGCATACTGTTAGGAGTTTGCCCCTCCCAATAGGAACTCTGTAAGATAGTATTGAAACAGACGTTTTACAAATTCCCACTAAAAGAAAATGAAGTATCCTTATTTCCATAGTGCCTTATATATGCACGTAAAATCTTTTAGTCTCCCCCAACGCCCAAGTTAATAATGGGACCTCCTGTTGTTGGTGTCTCTGCTACTCATCTTTCTCTTTCTCTGTTGTCCCTAAGTGCTAAATCACAAGTGGAGGTGGAGAAATTAGACATTAAAAACTCTCATATGTATCTGGCAATGCCGAAGTCAGTTTCAAAAGCCCCTGCATATCTCGATAATAACTATTCCTTTCTCATTCTAGCTGTTCATTGCTAAAATAGAAAACTGGGAGCAGAACTAAGGTGTGTTCCCAGAGGAACCCAACTGGCAGCATTTCAGAACAACGACAAAATCACATTCACTCTTAGTGCTGACTTACAAACTATGGCACTTGTATAAAATATCGGGTAACCACTCTAAATCTGGTAGTACAACAGGAATATACAGATAATTCCAAAAAGAACAGCTCAGAACCCCATATAAGTTTAGGCTGTAATATCAATCTGTTCTCAAATGAGCCAGATACATAGAAGGCAATCTTCAGAAAGCATTTGAGCTTCCAAGAAATACAGAAATACAATAAATAGCAAAAGTGTGAAAAGCATTCATGTTTATTTTTAATGAAGAATCCAGACTGTTAATTCTCATGGCATTTTGATAAATCAACTGGAGAGTTATCTGCATACTTGGTTCATGAAGACTTGATGAAGAATGCTTTCCTCCAAAATATGGAGAGCTCACATTGCTGGGTCACTGCTGGGGAGATCCAGTCCTGACAGGAAATGTCGAATTGCTTCCCCTGACCCACATCTTTCATTTGTAAGCACATTGGGCATGGTGGCTCAAGTGGAAATTTGATTAAAAGAGAAAAGCTATTAGTTTTTCTGCAAGTAGGTAAATCACAATGTTATGGTGTTTCTTGTTAGTACAAGCATATCATATACTAGAATAGTCTTGTGCACCCTCTTCAGACCCCTGCAGCCATTTTGATCAGTAATCTGGAGAGAAAACAAGCCACCCACTCCGATGCAAAACTCCTCCTCATTCAGTATTAAGATGAATTGCACTTTGGTGTTAGCAACATAGTTGACAGCTATGGACACAGTAGTCTGATAAAAGCTGATGTTTATTTAGCTCACCAATCATCTGGTGATTACTTTATATTCCTATCTTCTTTAATCCTCAGCAACCTAAAAGATACAAATTAATATTACCTCCCCAGACAGCCATCTACAGGCCCTTAACACCCCCTTCGTCGCTGAAGGTTTTAGCTCTTGTCTCGCTGTTACTCTCCCTAACATCACGCTTTCACAATTCTTGGTTATATCCATGTCCATGCAGATGATCCTTCCAATGGTAGTTTTATGACTACTTTCTCCAAATTGTGTTATCATTCACTTTCCTTCTGTGCATAAACCACACAACTTTTCATACCTAATAATTGCAACCCTTCCATGATTTCAGTCTCAAGGGACTTATTCTCCAGTGATTGCCTCCTGTCTTTCTAGCTCCTTCTCTCTAGTAATTTGGTTCCTGTAATTCTTCAACCCCACCGGGACCTGCTGTGCATTGATCCACCGCGTTTCCACTCATGCCTTCCTTTCTTCCTCAAATGACTGGATGCCGTGGTCCATCACTGGTATGGCATCCTTCGATTTACCTTTGGCTCCCTTTGCCCATCTCTCCTGCTGTAGAGGATGTGCCTGTCATGACCCCAGCCCAGGTTCGGTCTAACACTGCCTACTCTACACATATTTACAGAGGAACATGGCTCATGAAAATGTACAACTATGCTGATTTATTTCTATTTAAATTCATAACCATTCATTTCAATTGAGGCTTGCTGGTAGTCACCAATCCTATCGTATTTTCCAGGTCCACCCAGTCCCTCCCTATCTGGAAGACACTCTCTCTCTCCATACCACAAAAACTCTAACACCTCCCCCTGTATTCTTGATTAGCTTATGATTTGGTTTCCTATTTTCCTGAGGAATCAGAAACAGAGGAGAACGTTCATAGGCTCTCCCCCAAATCTCTACCTTTCATCTGTCATTATGGATGAGCTGTTCATATTCCTATCCAAGGCCAGATACTCAGTTGGCACACCAGATCTCATTCCTTGTCACCTACATGGTTATAGGGCTCAGCAGGTACCCTGATCTCCTATACCTTTGGTATCTCCCTCTACTATATTATTTCTATCAGCATATAACTATATATATATATATATATATATATATATATATGTTTTTTTTGAAAGTGAAAATCTCTTTTTTTCTNTAAGTCCAGAACCACCGAGTAAGAAGGCGGGCACAGAACACAGGCAGCCAAGTGCTCCTCGGCGAGGCCTCCTTACCAGACGCTGGGGTCGGAGCTGGAGTGCGGTGACTGACCAGGACTTGCTTGAGCATCCATGGTGAAGCGGGGATGGCTACCGAAAAAAGAAGTTGTGCTTTCAATACAGTGTAGTAAATAAAATGGAAGCAGTGAGGAAGTGCTTTTAAGCCAGTTTTATGAATTCAGAGGCTGAATCTTAAAGATAAATAGTCATTAGCCAGATGAAGAAAAGTGGAGATATTTTAGGTGATAAGAACAGCATGTGCAAAGACATGAGAGTATATCATTGCACTTCTGTTCCATTTCCTATTACTGGAGAATAAAATAAACCACATCAGATTTTACAGCAGATAAGACTGAGGCAAGAAGCACAGTCAAGGTTGTGGGAGGTCTTGGTACCATGCCATGTGCCCTGACAGTAAGTCACTCGGGAGCTTCGCAGGGGAGTTACATGTGTGCTTTAGATTGCCTGCCTGGTGGCAGTGGGATGAGGGAGACCAGCGACTGGACTAGTGCAAAAGCCCAGGTAAGCAAAGAAGACCTGGACTAAGACAGCAGTAGTAAGGACACCACAGAAAAGGCAGAATGAAGGGACATTTGGAGGAAACGTCAGTGATTCTTAGTAGCTGATTAGGTTGAACCAGGAGTGAGGGCAGGAAGGCCGTGAAGATGATTTCATGCTCCTTGACTTCAGTAACAGAGGTGGTGTTGGTGGGCTCAGAAACAGGATGCGAGAGAAGGATGTCTGGTGGGCATGACTACAGGTTCACTATTTGACATTCTGACTTTGAGAAGTCTCAGGGAAATCCAAGTGCTAATGTGAATCTGAAGGTCTGGAGAGATGTCAGGGTCAGAGATGTAGACATGAAAGTCATCTTCAAAAAAGCAAAAAACAAACACTGAGAATGGTTCAGACTGTCAAGTCAAAAAGAACAGGGAGCAGGAAGCAGTGGGTCAAGAACTCTGGAGAACACTCCATGGGGATGGTTGCATGAGAGAGGGTTGGATGAAGAGGACCTGCCCTGGCAATCTAGAAGCAAAAGTCAAGAGAGTTGGAAGATAACTAGGGGAATTTAATGCAAATGACAGAAACAGAGGATTTTAAGAAGGACTGAAAAAATAAGAATGGGGAAGGGAGAGGTCAGTTTTAAAGGAATCATGGGAGTAGATATCTTATTGAGGAATGGATGAGAGATGACAAAAGAAGGACTGAAAAAATAAGAATGGGGAAGGGAGAGGTCAGTTTTAAAGGAATCATGGGAGTAGATATCTTATTGAGGAATGGATGAGAGATGACATACTAGAATAATTTTCAAAAGTAATTGGGTGTAAAAAGGAGAGAAGTGGAGCAATATCAGGACGGCAGTGCAAGAACAGCTTTGTTTGTTTTGGTTTTCAAATGAGACGAGAAGCTGTGATCTGGGTTGATACTGAGCCTGTATACCCTAAGATTGTCTTCTAGTTGTTTGTGGCTGGTACCAGATCTGATTGGCCGGTTCATCTATTTTGATTGGTCAGAATACAGAGTCATTAGTCAGTGCCCAGAGTCCTTGCTAAATATTTTTAATGTCCTCCTTAGTGTGATAATAGGCTAAGGGAAAGAAAGTAAAAAGGAAGGGTAAAGATATGAAAGGATGATAATCATTTATAGCAGAGGTCAACGAAGTCTGACTGAGAGTCAAATTTGGCCCACTACCTTTTTTTTCACATGCCCTCACAGAAAGAATGGTTTTACATTTTTAAATGATTGAGAAAATAAAAATAAGAGCGTTTCATGATACATAACAATTTCATAAAATTCAAATTTCCATTTCCATCTATAAAGGTTTATTGGAACACAGACATATCCATTTGTTTACGTATCATGTAGAGCTGCTATTGCATTACAATAACAGTTGAGTAATTGTGACGCAGACCAATGTCACATAAAAACCTAAAATATTTACTCTCTAGTCTATTACAGAAAAACCAACTTGTTACTGCTGATTTACAGTATAATTCCTTGATAAGAGAGGAAGAAGATATAGAGGTACTGGCCTTGAACAGGAAAAAAAAATACTTCATCCTATGAAACAGGAAAAGGATAATAGGATCGTACAAATATAAACAGGTTTGCAGCTAAAGGAGAAAGAAGGGAGTCCCCCACCACCACATGCACCCCATGCTCTGAGTTAAATGTGTTGGCTGCCATCAATCATGACATCCTACAGGACTGAACCTGTGTCGTATTCATCTCTGTCACTCCCACAGCTCCCAGCACAGAGCCTTTCTTTCACCCACTCTCACTAAATATTTAATTGAATCCCAGGTGAAACTCTATTATAAGCACATTCCTAGAAACCTCTGCCCTTAGGGTCTTGCATTTAATTCTTTTACTGTTTGGACCCACATTTATTAAAGTTTGATGCTATGTTCAGAGGTGTGAAGAAAATGGAAGCTGGCTTCTTATTTAGTTAATTTCCAGTTCACTAAATGGACCCAATATAGTCAAAGAGAGCTAATATTCTTATTAAAATTGGTCTTTTGTCCCCTTTTTCCAGCCTGAATAGTTCTATTAACCACTAAGGGGTTTGAGAATAAATACTATACAAATATAAGGCATTAATATAGATTTTTTGAAGCTATAAACAATATAAAAGAAAATAAAAGCCATAAGGAAAGTTGAAAAGTAAATGGTAAAAATTTTTATAGAGTAGGCTATATGGCAACCATCAGTTATTTTAAAACTCAACATGGTGAGTTTTAAGAGTTTGAATTTTAACACCTTTGGGTATACACTGCTCACTGATCAACTGCACTTGTCACAGTTTCTATGGTTTTACACCTGCTCATATAAATACATTGCCAGCCTGGATCTGGTATTTAAATTTGTAATTGATAATGAAGAGCTCTCTGAAAACACAAAAGCAGTCCAGATGACCACCCTGGGTTCACTTTATGATGGCTTATGTATATGCACACACACATACATGTCTATTTACATGACTGTACATCTATACACCCAGCCCCCTAAGTCACCAGATTTCTTGTTTTCTTAAAAAATAACAGCATGATAGTTCTAAGCATATTGCAATATATAAAAATATCAAACCACCACACGTTGTACACCTTATACTTAGACAATGTTATATATCAGGTATAATCTCAAATAAGTACCAAATTTTTTTAAAAAGCAACAGCACGTATGTGAAAGTGTCTGTGATTTTGCCCATTATTCAGTCTGTTGTGAATGTGAAAATTAATTTTGCAAGTGCTCAGTTATCTAATGTTCTTTTAGTCCCCCCAGTAAATCTTTGCATCTCCAAAGGGAGCTATATAGGTGACCACCTACGATGAGATTCATCTTGGCATGACCATTCTTGTCATTAATCTTCTAGTAAGGCATAGGTTGCTGAAAGGAATACTCTAAAATGAGTGATGATAGCATTATAGTGCCCAAAGACAGAGAATATATCAATACATGCAACATGATAATATCTGGGCACATTTTCATATTCCCATGCCACAGCCTCTAATCTACTATTTGTCCTACTCACCTACAGTATGGCACAAACCTGTGGTGAAGTCACGTCTCCGAAGCTGTTGAGAGAGGGAGAAGAAAGAGAAAGAGAGAATGTGTAAAGAGAAAAAAAGCAAAATATTTTGTCTGTTGATCAGTTCATCTGGGAATTGGAATAAGGAAGTTTTAGTTTCTTCTTTCTGATTGCATTATTTTTGAACACAATACAGAATTTGGTTCTTTGCTGTTTTCTTCAATAAATCACTCTGGCACCAGAAAAAAATAATGCCAGGTCTGTGAAGGTGAGACAAAAAGCAGTAAAAACACAGTCTGTCAACTGTTCATCTCTTCTGATGGAGGAGTACCTTTCAGATCACTGTCCTAACTGGTACTTAACTCCTTACAGATAAAGACTACGGGAAACAGGATATGGCTGCCAGTTGAATATACTCTTTACTAATATTTTATGCTCTCTAACAGAACAGTATTTAAATGCATTAAACCAAGGTAAATGTTGGGAAGCTGACAGTTTCTTAAAAAATGAAAAAAACATAAATTCTTAGCAGACTATTCTTTGGAATGTGTCCCAGAGTCATCCAGGAGTAAAGAAAAGGGATATGTAATAGAACTGATAGTTGTACGAATGAGAAAAATCAGGCTCTATTGTCACCGCTTGGCTTGACACATTTGAATTTAAGGAAATACAACAAAATTAAGAGAGCTGTAAGAACAAATAGTGAAGATCTTTAATTTGCATTTTAGGTCATCAGTGATGTTTCCTATGTGTCACATATTATGGGATTATACTGTATGTAATACTTTTTTAAGAACGAACAGACCGTTCTTTAGTTATCCTTCATCCAGGGACAAAAGATAACAGTTAGTTCCTATTACTTACAAAGTTCACAAACCCCTTATTATCTTACCTAGAAATTTCTCCCTTGTTAAGTGATGAAATGAATTGATTTCTTTCCTAAAATTATCTTTAAATGGAAATGTCCATTTTAAATAGTATAGACATACTCCTAGAGGCAGAGGGCATTGCTCGGTGACTTCTGTAAGGCCATTTTGAAAATGACTCATGCTACTGGCCCACGTGGTACGAGAATCAGGTAGGTATGATCCCTGGGTGCCGCTCACACTGACCACACCTTTCATTGACCACACCCATGAACAATCCTTATCCATCCGTCTGTTTTTCCTGCACCCTCTTCTGTCTACTCTAGAACCAACACAAGATTTTTGCTGTCTTCTCTCTCCCCTTAAGACCCTTAGTTCTCACCAGGTGGTTCTGTCTAGGCTCTGCAGCCTCACCTCTGACAGTGTTTACCCAAGCCACCAGAAGCCTGGCTGCCAGTTTGCAACATTGCTACCAAAATGAACTTGAGTGATTCAAATCATTGTTTTTGACAGGGAGGAAAACAACATAGTAATCAGGTGATAAAGTACTACTTAAAAGCAAAGCTCAAAATATCTATGCAGAATTTGATTAACCACGTGATGCAATATCTGTATGCAGGTCCGTATGGTGAACCAGGCATTGTCCCTGTTTTGTATGTGGCTTGCAGATTTACTCTGCTGGTGATATGTCTTTAATCTCTACACTGATTGTTTCACTAGTGTTTAGGAGGTAATCTGGCTGACTGAAGTTTAAACATTCAGGAGACAAAAAAATGGTATTATTTTTATATTTAGTTATAGCTGTCCACTTTCACACAGTGCATTAGGGCCAGGAAACATCCCTTTAAGCGCTATCTGTTGATCTAACATATAAAAGGGAAGTACTTTAATTCTTTATGTTAGTTACTAAGGACTACTACTTATCAAATACTTTTCTGCAGTTAAATAATAAAAAGACAGAGTACTCGAGTGAGAAGAGCATTAGTCTAAGCTGAGAAAGTGGCCACTTGAAATATTTATGCCTTACTTTTCCTGTCAGTAAAACAGGATAAAGTTACAAGTGATCTTTCTACCTTGCATGGCTACTTAAGGATGAAAGAAAATGTTAAAAATATCTCAGGAGAAAATTCAAATCTATCAAAAGGTTAAATAAATTCAAGTTGGGTAACACAAACCCCCTAAAAGGCCATATAGATCTGGACTCATATAGGGAGAAAGGTTGGGTGGTCTTTTTTTCTTCCTCTCCAAGAGTAATTTCTTATTTTTCCAATTCAGTAATATTTCTCCTATTTGCTCTGTGTTCCCGATAGTCTTAAAAAGACATTTCAGTTTTGGCAATAGATTCACTGAATCCAAAAGTGGACTATTCATTTGGGTTTTATTCTTTCTGCAAATATTATAAAATTACATTTACTCTCTCTTCTATGAATTTAATGCCAGTGTTTATACAATTGTTGCGGCACATCTCACATTATAATCTCTTTTGTCCTATGAAATTCTCCATAACTAAACTAAAATCTTACTGTTTTTCACAGCACAGTACGTGCCTTGCCTCAAGAGGAAAGAATAGGTAGTTGTGATAGAGAAAAACTTAGTAAGGAATTTCTACTTCGTAAGCCTTTTCTCTTTCTGGTCCATCTGTTGTATATTTGATGGTAGGGGAAAGGGGGAGGGGCCAGGGAGTTCTCATCAATCAGTATCTCAATAAGTATTTCTTATGTTAATGCCTATTAAAATTCAGCAAACTTAATGTTAAGTGACTATAAATAAAAAACTCTTCTATATGTAATATTAATAAATAGACATTTTAGTCTACTTGCATAGTTTTATTTAACACATGCCATAAGGGACAGAAAGCTTCTGTTGACGGAATAGTATTCTTAAAATGGCTTACATATTGGCAGATGTGTTGATCCAAAATGTGAAAATGCTTGTGAATGCCCATTAGGCAAGCCCGAACACCCCTTGATGTGCATGTGTCTATACTCTGAAAGAAATCTACTTGCGGTTTCAAAGAGACTGTGTTAGATAAATAAGTATGTGAAAAATCATAGGGACTGCTCATGGATATGGGAGCAGTTAAAGCACATCTTTTCTGTATTTGAAAGAAAAAGAGGGAAGGGAGAAAAATTGTTGGCAAAGGAGCTAGTAATAATGATTGGTACTTGAGAAAAAGTCCCAAGAAGTTTTATCAGTTGGAGAAATTTTTAACAGGGCTGAAAATATGTTACCAGCTGTGGACCAGCTACAGGAGGAGAACAACTGCAAGATACCCTGTATGATCCAATTCTCACAACTCTGTTGTGGGGGTGGGGGAAGGAAGTATGTGCAATATTTCCAGCTTTTCACCTGTTTTTTATTTAGACAAGCTCACAAAACACAAACTGGAAGCCAATATTAAACAATTCTTTTTCATAACAACCTGCATATTGCTAGCATTATTGAACATTTTAAAGACACTTATCTAAAAGCTTCTGTCTATATCCTAAAACACTTTTGCTAGAACTTCTTCAACAGCATTGAGCATCTCTAATGTAACAGGCTTAAGGTATGCTTTGAGATCCCAGTTTATTGGTACTTTCTAAAAACAAACACATTAATGAGGTATGATGTTATAAAATGTACAGTATAGTAAAAAGGAGTAACACACTTAAGATTCCTTTATTTTTCGACTCTACTAATGTGCATGTGGTAAGAAAAGACTTTTTTTCCTTCCCGTGTACAAAGGCTGTGGAGATAGGCTTTACAAGGATGGCACTTCTGAGCTGAGCCTTAAACAGAAAGCAAGAGTTCGTCTGATGAAGGAAAGAAAAGTGTCAGAAATCAGAGGACCATCCCACAGATACCACTGCGCTATGGACTGAGAATGGGATTCCATTCCAGACTGTGCTATTTAGCCGAAGATTCATTGGTTATTCCAGATGAAAGGTTGCCCGTCGGACTGTTACCTGGGAAATACTCTTCAACTATGTCAAAATCAGTTATTTTCCAGAATACAATTAGTAACTATAGCAAAGCCCACCGATGATACGTTCAGGTTCAGAAGTCAGCATATCACGTCTCCCTGGGATCGTAAGGAAGCCAAGAGTTCCACGCGTGGACGTCGGCCCTGCGGGCGCCCTCCAAGCATAAGGAAGACTTAGTATGAAGACACTCATCTTTTCCCAATTAGATATTTTACCTCAGGCATTCCACTTCTTCTCTCTGCTGGTAAACTGCAACTAGAACTACATAATTCCCAGCTACAATTATTTTTTTTAATTTCCAAGTTTAAACAGGTATCACGTTCCCCTAGTGCCGTAACCTGTGAAAATACAATCTCTCTCCTCCAGGCAAGTGAAATAATTTATCATAATATAGGGCTCAGCCGCTGACTCAGAAGTAGTGTTACTCACCGACACCTTATTGGCCACCGGGGATTGCTCTTTTTGGTCCACTGCCACTTGGAGAAGGAGTGGGAGTAGTTAGGGGGATGCCCTCGTCAGTACCTCAAAAGTTACTTTAGAAAAACAGCAGTGTGTGGTTGCTTGAAGAAAATGTGGAAAGATACCTGCTCATCAATTATAAGCAATTAAGTCTTCAGGGAACCTAGTAGGATGGATGGTATCACACGTCAAATCCAGGAAACGGAGTTCAATTTTCTGGATATTTAAAAGCTTCAATGTACATCATTTGAAGTTGTTTCAATAATATTCTTATTTTTAAACACATTTTTAATTATTAAATTAATTCAACACATTAATTCCAATATCATAATTCCAGTATTATTAAATTTTATATTGTATTAGTAACTGGAAACAGAACACTTGTAAAACAGAAAAAGTCAAGGTAAAAAATTAAAGTCATGTATTCTCTAATGTCCAAGAGGTAACTTTTTATGATTTTGATTCTATTTTTCCAATTATTTTATGCTTCTGTATACATAAAATATTGAGATCACAGTGTATATATTGTTTCATACTAACAAACAAGCTCTTAAATTCTCTAATACTCTAGTCTTCTTCTATACATATTAAGGAAATCATATTTGTTATATTTCTAGTAAATTTTTTCACCATTTATTTTGTGAAATTTTTATTACTTTTATTAGCCATAATGATTCTGATTTTAATGGATGTCTGATATTCCACTGCAGATATTTATTAAGTACACTTAGGTGATTGCAGGTTTT